CCTCAATGCGTTTCTCTGTCCTCTGCTTGGCCTTGAGAGACCTCAGTGCCTGGCGGGTATGGAAACAGATCAGGATGGGACATGGTAGGCCAAGGGGCAAAGCATGCAGCCCTGCTCAAACAACAAGAGCATCCCAGTCTTCTCCCTATAAATTAAACTGTGGTGCCTGAGACACCTGCAAATGCACCCTGACCCCCAATCAAGCTGCTCTCTCTCTGAACTGCTGGGCCCCTGTCCCTGACAGGTGAGGATGCCACTCCTAGGCTGCAGAGGAAGGGAACCTACCAACTGCTTCTTTCCAGCTCGGCATGCTCGGCGGGCTTCCTCTTTGCACCTGTGGAATGCAGGACAGATGAAGAAGGGTGTGCTGTGGCAGGGTCTCAAAGAATGCCTGAGAGCACTTAGGGAAAGTAGCTTCAGACCTGAAGGCCAACAATTCCCTAAACCCCACAGTCACAGTGATGGCCAACTACCCATGCCACTCTCTGGAAGCAAGTCTCAACAGACGCTTGGGCATCCTATGTGGCAAGGCAAGGGGATCCAGGCCGGAAGGTGAGACAATTATACACATCTTTCCACTGCAAGACATGTGACTGATTCCTACACATTAAAGACCCTGGCCAAGCCTCTGAGCCTCCCAACACTCCTCTATTTCTCTGAGAGACAGAGTGAAGAACTCTAATACATAGAAGTGTCCTCCAAGGATCCCTGTAGAAGCATCTCAAGGAAGAGCAAGAGATCCTTACAAAAGCCTGTGAAGGCACAGATCCACCTTACTGTCTCCCCACTTATGGACAACACCAGCTTCAGAAGAACATAAATAAGACATTAACAGCTGTAATCACGGGAGGGACAATAGTCATTTTTCTCCTTCATGAGGGACAACAGTCATTTTTCTCCTTTATTTTCTGTTTTCTACATGGAGTACCTAGTATGTGTGTAATTAGTACATAACTTTTCTTGTAGTGCTGGGGGCAAACTCATGGCCTCATGCATGCTAGGGAAGCACTCTACAGATGGAGACATATTGCTAGCCTTGTTTTTTTTTTTCTCTTTTGAAGAGCCCCACTCATGCTGGGGCTCCAGTGCAGCCAGGCAGGAAAGATTACCTCTCAGATTCTTGGGATAAAGACTCAACCTTTCGAGAGAGAAGCTGCTCACTCTGCATCAGCTGGTAGACCCCAACATCCACATCGTTGACAGGAGACACTTTGGCATGTGGTCCCCTGGCAAACTTCACAATCTGGGGGAAAGGGACAAATTACTGCTGTCCCTACCACACATGCTCAGAAATTCACAAGCAGGCCTGGGGTGGGCATGTGAGTGCAGATGAAGTCCTTGGGAGTCCATGCACGCACGCACGCACGCACGCATGCACGCATGCACGCTTACACACACACACACAGAGGCCGGCACACACCCAGACAGGCACGCTTCCACACCTTCTCTCCGTTCTGCTCCAAGACCGTGACTCTCTTCTCCTTCTGCAGCTGCAGCAGCACCAGGTAGAAGGTCCTCTCGTCCGGGCAGGAGTTGGCACACAGAGTACTCAGCTCTGACAGGGCCACCACAGGGTGGGAGGAGAGGGGTGAGTTCTGGTACAGGCGATAAACCTCCTCAGCCTTTTCCTGCAGGGAAGGCAAAGAGATTCAGAGTCCTGGTTACCACCTCAGGACACACAAGCCTTGACCCTGAGTGTCAGAGCCATGAGCCCACAAAGAAAGGCCCGGGGAGTACCCACCCAGCACTCAGTGGCAGCTTTCAAAAGCAGCCTATGGAGATGGCTCAGTTGGTAAAGTGTCTCCTGGGCAAGTATGAAGACCTGAGTGTGGATGCCCAGCCCCCAGGTAAAAGCCAGCACATATCTATACCCCAGCACCATGGCCGATCTTTGAAACAAGATGTACAAAGTGCCAGCTCCATGTTGGCATGTCCACCTGGGCTGTGCATTTCTGCATCCACCCGGCCTGAGGCTCCTCACAGGAGGAATAAGGCAGAGGGGTGGAGTGGAACTGGCCATGATCTAGATCCAAACCTCACGTCCAACTTAGCCCACAACCCTGCAACTGTCAGTCTCACAGATCCTCAGCTTCTTGCACACGAACGGAGTAGATGGTGCTAAACCCCTTTTCCGTCCTGGCTTCTCCGTTTGTGCAAAAGCGCAGGTGTGAACATTAGTGTGTGAACGTTAGTGTGCCTGCAGAGTCAGGAGGGAACACGTGGTGGATGGACAGCAGGGGCAGGCAGGCTGCACCAGGGAGAAGACTAAGAGACAAGTGAGTGCCAAGGAACAACGCCACTCTCCCTCAGACACCGGAACCCAGAGGGGTTTTAGAAGCAAAACAAAAGGCCGTTGATCACAGTGTTGAAGGGTGAATCACTACTAAGTGAAAGAGGTAGAGAGAGGTGTCCAATGTTGACACAGAAGTGTGAGTTCATGTGCTTGTGTGCGTGTGTGTGTGTGTGTGTGTGTGTGTGTGTGTGTGTACATCTCACCTCCTGTTCTTTGTTCTGCAGAGGACGGGCAGTCACTGGAGAAACTGCCATGGCTAGGCTGACATAGAGCCAGCAAACAGCCGGCAAAGGATGGACTGAAGATGAGCATTAGAGGCAGGGAGGTCATTAATGCAAGAAGAGACATCACTGCCGCTCTGAAGAGGAGAGCATGTAGGAAACAGAGAGATGGGCTAGATCCCAGCAAAACTTAGAGGACAAAAGTAGCAGCCCAGGGTATCTGAACAAGGACTGACAGAGAAAGGGACTTGGCTATGGCTGAGGTGACTCACAGAAGAACACAGGAGAAGCCTGTCTCAAACACCAAACGCTCCACTTTGGACAAGCTAGGCGATTAGATGTGCAAGCCGCAAGTTCAAAGGAGACTGCAGACGAGCAAGGAGAGCCCTCAAGTCCCCAGCACACAGAGGGCAGTCAAGATCGCACACGTGAGTGAGAGAACACAGGGAGACTCAGGGAAAAGTGGCAAACCGAAGGAAGGCCAATGTTGAAACAGTGAGGTGACCCACAAGAGACCCACAGGACTGTCTGGGGGGACCAAAGAGAACCCACAGCTCTCTGTGAACAAATCCAGGGGAAGAAACCAATATACGAAGCAAGCAGTCAACCATGTCCAAGACAGCACACAAGAGTCTAGCAAGACAGAGACTACAGTTCCCGTTAGACCTGACTGCCTCTCCCAGAAGGACCCACCATTCACATCGACAATTCCCAAGAGCAGTGTGGCAGACATACACAAGATTCAGTACACAGCATTAGTAAAGAGGCTAGGGAAAAAGGGCTTTCCTTCACCACATGTACATAAATCCTCAAGAACTGAAATTTGGGGCTGGAGAGATGGCTCAGAGGTTAAGAGCACAGGCTGCTCTTCCAGAGGTCCTGAGTTCAATTCCCAGCAACCACATGGCGGCTCACAATCATCTGTAATGGGATCTGATGCCCTCTTCTGGCCTGCAGGCAAACATGCAGACAGAACACTATATATAATAAAAAAAATAAATATAATCAATAAAATAAATTTTAAAAAGAACTGAAATTATAATGAAAAAAATAAAAGCACAAAGTAAAACAAAAGAGAAGCTAGGGATATAGTACATTGATACAGCACTTGCTTAGCACACACAAGGCCCCAAGTTCAATCCCCAGTACCAAAGAGAAAGAATCAATATTTGGTTCTGTTTGAGGCATAAGATGTCTTCCCAAGCAAGACCAACAATTAGTACTCCAAAGGAAACTGGATGCTCTCACTGCAGAAATATGAAAACTTCTGTAAAAGACACCATGATGGTTGGTGAGGTGTCTCGGCAGGTAAAGGCACTTGCTGCCATGTCTGCCCACAGGAGTTCACCCCCAGGACCATATGGTGGAGGGAGAAGTGACTCCTGTCCTCTGACGTCCATGTGTCCCATAATGAGCACATCCATACTCAATGCACTCGGATTCAGGCACACACAAATGAATGGTGTTTGTTTGTTTAAGGACATCACGAATAAAAATTACGCAAGCAATCTAGGGAGCAATATTTCTGTCTTTGGGGTTGGGGAGATGGCTCAGTGGGCAAGAGCATCTGCTGCTCAAGCAGGGGGAGCTGAGTCTGACCCCTAGCACTCACTGAGAAAGCGGGCCATGGCGAACATCTGTAACCCCAGCACTGTTTAGGGCAGAGACAGGAGGCTCACTTGGCTTGCTGGCCACCAGCCTAGCTCCAGGTTCAGTGAGAGACCCTGTCTCAAGGGAATAAGGCAGAGGGTGATAGAGCAGGACACCTGACGTCCTCCTCTGGCCTCCACATGTGTGCACACCTGTGTGAGCATACATAACACACAGAATTTTACATCTTTGATGCCAAGTGCATAAGTATTGACCCCAAAACATAAAGAACTCCTACAAATTGATAAGAAAGATAGGCAATACAGTATAAAAACAGGCAAAATATAGCAAGAGGCAATTTGCACAAGGGCCTATGTAAATGATGACAAGACAGGTAAAGAGACGGGGAGTAACAAAGGGGTAGGATGTTTGCTAGGCATGCCTAAGGCTCAGGGTTTGATCTCCAGCAATACAAAGATAAATTTTAAAAGTGCTAGACATACAGATAGAAAGTAGTTTAAAAGGCTGGCATCATCCATTGTTGACAAGGATGCAGGAGTTACCTTCCTAAGACACTTTTTTAAAAAATGATTTATTTTTATTTTATGTGGATTGGTGTTTTGCCTGCAAGTAGCCTGTGTGAGGGTGTTAAATCCCCTGGAGCTGGAGTTAAAGACAGTTGTGAGCTGCCATGTGGGTGCTGGGAATTGAACCTGGGTCCTCTAGAAGAGCAGACAGTGTTCTTAACCACCGAACTATCTCTCCAGCCCCCTTAAGACACTCTTTTTTTTTTGGTTTTTTCGAGACAGGGTTTCTCTGTGTAGCTTTGCGCCTTTCCTGGGAATCACTTGGTAGTCCAGGCTGGCCTCGAACTCACAATGATCCACCTGGCTCTGCCTCCCGAGTGCTGGGATTAAAGGCGTGCGCCACCACCGCCCGGCTAGACACTCTTGATCAAAGTAAAATTAGTACAAGTTCCTGAAAAGTAAACGATGTTGCAAGGGGCTCATGCCTGTGATTCTAGCACTTGAGAGACTGAGGCAGGATTGCCACAAACTGAGACCAACAAAGACTACATTGTGAAAATCTGTCTCAACAACACAAAAAATCAGGTAATTATTTTGTATGTGTGTACGATTATGTGTGTTCACATGTGTGTGCACATGTATGTAAGTATGTGTGTGGGGTGCATGTGGAGTCCAGAGGTAAATTCAGGTATATTCCACAATCACTCTCTACCCTGTATTTTCAAGACAGGTATATAATTCAGCTAGACTGGCTAGCCAGCAAGCCACAGGGACCCTCCCACCTCTGCTTCCCAGCACTGGGATTACACGTATTAGCCTCTGCACATGGCTTTTTATGTGGGTGCTAGGGATCCAGACTCAGGTCCACATTTAACCAACTGAGCTGTGTCCCCAGCCCCTAAAAATGTAGAAGGAACAAAATTACACAGATGTGTGTGCACAAGCTTACCAAAGATAGAAAACAAAAGAAACTGTAATAACTTCAAGTCCACTTGTGGGGCAACCAGGGCATAAACAGTGGCAGATGTACAGATTACTGTACAGTGGTCAAAAAAGGATAAACTAGATTTACGTTGTATAGGACCCAGAAGGATAGTCCCAACATAATAAAGCAGAAAGAAAAACATGCTATGGAGCCATTTTATTTCTAGAAAAACAATGTAATGGATGTGTGTACATGTATGTGTATATTTGTAATTCAATAAGTATTTATTACTAGACACCTGTCAAGGTCCTGAAGTTCGTGGAATCCCTTTTAATAGGACAGTCAGACAATGAACAAGGAAACATGCAGGGATTTCAGTTAGTAGTAAATGCTAACAAGGAAATACACTCTCTAGAGAGGTGACTCAGTGGCTGAATGCAAGCCTGATGACCTGAGCTTGACATCAGGAACCCGAGAAGAAGCCAGATCTGAGGGTGTGCATCTACGATCCCTGATCCCAGCACTCCGACATTGAGTAGGTACGTGACCACATTCACAGAACACACAGTTCCAGGAGAACTGCAGCCTGGAGTTCACAGTAGGGCAGAAACCAAAGAATCCTCCTTCAAACAAGGTGCAGGGAGAGAATCAACTCTCCAAAGTTGTCCTCTGATCTCCATGCACCATGCACCATGACAGATACATATCTACACATACACACATACACACACACACACACACACACATCAATAGATACATATCTACACACACTAGATATATATCTACATACACATACATACACACACATCAATAACAAAGAAAACTTTGTACATTATACAATATTAAAAAAAGAAAATTGAAAGTAAGAGCAGCAGGGTTAATAAGAAAAATGTGTTTGTCCCTTTTACCTCTGACGGCCTGCCACACTGTGTATATAGTGCGTGCGAGCAAATGTATACACACACACACACACACACACACACACACACACACACACCCCAGAAATGCTTCACCTTCCCATAGTCCTTCTCCAGATAAGCCCAGCATCTAGGGCACCTGCTCTTCATCTCACTTGGGCTTGTGCCAGAGATACAGAATTTGGTACAGTTGCCTGAGCCTAAGTGCTCAAGATACAAGACATTTACACCCAAGTCATTACAATGTGTCCAAAGTGAAGAACGCTGATGACTGGACAGTTAGACG